TGGCTAACATTAAAACATCATTATGGGCAAAGTCCAGACTGTCAAGTTCATAAAATTAATCACTAAAATCTAACAGATGGATGAGTGTAAGTCACAGACAGCTAGGGTGAAGCACATGAAGATGACAGCCATCTGTCAGTACTGAAATTTGCCCCTGCTCCTCCACATCTATGTGGAGGAGACACATCAAGCTGAATGTTTTTGGCCCAGGACTAAATTCACTTGATTCAATTGATACAAAGGCCATATCAGACTTCATACTCTGCCTTAATAGTTGGGTGTAACACAGTACAGGACCTAGCAGATATGACAGGGCCTAGGCTGAAACATCTATTAAAAAAAGCCATTGGTTTTGCAGGTTAGGGTCAGTCAAAAATTTCACTGTGGTCTGTCAGCATGACAATTGAGTAACAAGGCATATAAGCACAAACTCATTTCAGCACATCAGTCTTCTACTGTTTTGAAGAAATCAGTGCCATGGTTGCATTGTCACTTGGGATACAAGAGCCTAGAATTAGACTAGAAGAGAATGAAACGAGATATGTGGTTTGCCATTTCCTCATATGTGTATGTTTGAAAGGACAACAGACCACTAAGATAAATGATTAATTACAGTGCAATCAGTTAAAAATACATAAGATACATCTTCTCAAACATTAATAACCAATAAGACAGACAGCCTGTAATACAATGCAAGGGGGAAAAAAAATCTCATTCTTACAAATACATCAACAGGGATCTCTAGACTCAAGCTGCTGGATAGGTTTAGCAGCTTGTTAGAAGACTATTGCTTTGTTGCTGTTTATTATTAAAGAGATCCCTGTGACACACTTGGTGTACAGTTAATATGCACAGCAAGCCACAGCTAGAGGATCTAGTCCTGGAAGAGGTGATGCAGGTGGGTATTAGAAACCATCTTGAAAGTACTTGCTTAGGGGAGCAGCTGCACCATGAAATGCCAGCGGTGGTTCACCAGGCTATCTGGGGCTGTGTCAGAAACGAGGGAAGTCATGCTCAGCAGCATGTTCCCCTCTGGTAAGAAGCTGGATGGACTATTACTCTCTTCTGGTTTATCTACTTTGGTTTCTTATCTGCATAAAGCAGGGAAGAGAGGTGGAAAAAACAAAATCTCATGCTCTTGGGTTTTGTCCCCAAAGAGAACAGGATCTGGAATCCTACGGTTTATCCCACAGAGTTAGAAGTGCCTGGGATATTATGGTTCCAGTGGGAAAGGAAGAGGCTGGAAAGGTTTCCAGAATCCAACGTAATGCAGCAACTCTGCATCTTAGTCTCTCTCACCCTATCCCCAGCAGTGCACTGCTGAACTAACAGACTGCAAACACACAGTATAACCATAATTTTGCTAATTGCTCCCCCTACCTCCCAAACTTCACACACATCTGCATCCACTGCAATAAAATCTTCCTCTTTAGTTGCTTTCCATCACATTTTCCCTTTCTCTATAACCCTGGGTAGCTCCTGGCAAAATTTACACTGTTATTCCCAATGTTGCTGTGCAAGTTACTGGGTCAGATCCAGAGGCACCACGTGGTATACCCCATTAACATCTGTACAGCCAGCCATTTTCCTCATCTTGAAGGCCCTGCACTTTACAGCTCCACTGTGTGCTTCCTGTGTGTTCAAGACACCCCATCAAGTAGGAAACACTGCCTGCCCAGAGTGAGCAACACCACCACAAACCAAATGGACTCTGGTGAATACTTAAAACTAAGAAGCCAAAGGTTGAAACTGGTTACTTGTGGGAATGGCAGTCTCTCTCCATTTATCAACTCCAGAATCCTTGCAACCCCATCTGCTTTGCCACAAAGCAGCAGGGAAGCCCACTCACTGCATTCCAAAAGCCGAGCCTTTTGTTTGTCAAACAAAGCTCCAGACTCATCAATATGTACATTTGGAGGATGCAATATATCAGCTATTTCATTGACATGGTATCCTAAACTTATTTATAAGACAAAGAACAGATCTCAATTACAGCAGAATTTAAACAAAGAAAGTGATTCAATCACTCCATGAACAAACTGCTGCCAGATCCCCAGCTGAGAACTCAGGTTCTGGAGGTACTATTTCTTTCTTACAGACAGGCCAAACAGGGGGCTTCTCACAACTGTATTCTCCATAGCAATATGTGTTTCACATCCTGCTTCCCTCCACCCATCCAAGGCAAGTTCTCCAAGGAATACAATGTGAAATCCTACACAAAAAACCAGTTTGCATTTAACCATAGGTTAAAGTGATGCATTGTGACACTGCCATTGAGGGGTCATTATCCTCTAGTAATCATCTGTCATTCTTAATCATATGCCTGCAAGTTAAAAATCTAATACGTTGTGACAAAACTGTGCAAGTGGATAATGCAGAGTAAGCAGTTTGTCAACCTGGAAGAACGCTGGTCAGGATGCTGAGTTTTAGAAAGCTACAGTGGATTTTCACCATGAGGAGAGTTATTTATAAGATAAAAAGTCAGTAAAGTTGGGATTTTCAAACACTCTTTAGAAGGAAAGGTAGCCAAACCATATCATTAAGTCATCAGGAAGCCATTACTATTTTCAGTAGTTTCAGTTTTTTGCAACTTATTACAATATTGGTAAACATAACTAATAATAGTCTTACCAATAAGTACTACTGTGTGTGCTGGAAGATCTGAATGTAAGCATTTAAGAAAACATTTAACTTATCTCTGCAATAACTCTAAGAAGTATTTTGTCTTTTGTTGAACCATTGAAGCAATTGTTCTCCTTTCCTGGAAAACCTGGAAATCTACCATTTTTTGTAGCAAAAAAATGTGAACAGTTGTTACACAGAATCTTTTCTTCAACCAGAGACTGACACGATTACTAATCCCAGCCTATTATAATAATAAAAACTTAATGTTAATAATTAAATAAAATACATCTTTTTTCCATCACCTCTTTAAAAAAAGCATCATGTACAAATAAATCTGAAATTTACTTGCTCTTGAGGCAAGACCACAACAATCAAACACTAATAAGCAACAGTCACGAAAAGGAGAGAGTAGTTGAATTAGACCCAGGTCATCACAAGAAAACCCTGTCTTATAAAAAGATACTCTTAACTCTCTATGGTTAGAAAAAGGAAACTGAAAATTCACATTTTCAGCATTCAAAATACTTGTGAACTTTTAACTGAATAAATATGATAGACACAGTAAAGATATCTTCAAATGGTTAATGCCAAATCTCATCAAGGGATCAGATTCCTGGCCAGACCACGACGAAAATAGTGAACTCAACAGCACAGGTCATTTTAATGACCAAAGATTTAACAAGATTCAATGAGAAAGCAAGCATATAGGAATAAAGAACTCCACAGTGCCAGGACCCAGAGACCACTCCAAGCACTAGCAGCTTAGCTGGTCGTTCAAGGCCAACCAGTTGGCAGAAGGTATGAAGAACACTTGAAGGAACTTTAGCAGAGGCTCATCCTCAAACAGCTCTGTTGGGAGGCCTCAGTGAGGGCAATCCTCTTTCCCTTCAAGGCTACTGCTCTCACTCTGGTCCTCGCCTGATCTGTGCCACAGCCGTGTATCCCATTGATTCAGGTCCTGGCTAGTTTGCCAACTTGACTGCAGACCTGCCTCACCACTGTGGACTTGGCTGGCAATCATTGGTCCTGGCCACTATGTTCAAACTTGATTATGATCTATGATCCTGACTCAATTTCCCAACTTGACTTCGGACCTACTCTTGTTACTACAGACGTGCTTGGTGGTCTGGTCCCTGGGCTGAATCCAACTACCCTCACTGGCACTGTCTGCCTCACTTGGGGTGCACTGTGACTCGCCCATTGCTGCTAAAGCCACTGCTTCTGCTGACCTCCCTTCCCTGAGGCCTTCCCTGAGGGAACAGCTTTGCCCTTGCTGGATGCCAGCATTGAGCTACAATAGTTCAAGTTAGCAACAAGCATTAACTGAGGAAAAAACCATGATGCTCGAACTTTTTTTAAAAGTTCCTTTTTTAGGGACTGGAATGCTGAAGGTTGCTTTGAAGTTGTACAAACCACCACATCTACACCACCGACACAAGTCTGCTGAAGCTCCCCATAACCTAGTGCTACCTACTGCCAGATGCAATACCAGAGTTAACAGAGAGTTATTCAGTCTTAAAACTCAGTCCACAGTAATATCGTTTCCCTTCGGGCTACAGATTACACTGGAGCTCACACATTAACACTAGAAGTTCTGCTGAGGTGTATTTTCCTTGACATCTTTGCCATTGTTCACTGATTCGCACAGAATTAGCTGACTAGGGTTTAGTGAATTAGTAATCATCATAATCAGAGGAATATTGTATTGATCAAAATTTTTTAAAAAAGTATAAAAATAATCAAAGCATACAGTAAAGAATGAACAAAGGCCCACACCTCATCCTCCCTGAGGCAAGGACATGTGGTAGCCATAAAAGTTGAGGAGTTTAAGTCTCAGCATCACCACCTCCAGCTGGCCACACTTCACTTAGCTCTTAACTTGCCCTGCAGCCACAGCCCACCTGCGTGCTGTGGCATCAGACAGCAAAGCACCCAGAAACTTGGTACCAGGACATCTCTGAGCATACGGATGAATTCTGCCCCCATTCAGTCTTGCCCTTGTCCTATATTTCCACTTAGATAGAAGTCTGAAGTATGAACTGATTTATGCTTACTTGACAAAGGTAAACAGGAGTTTACATTCAGCTAAAAGTCTGTGTCAACACAGAGAAAGCTGTATGTTCCTTAAGCACTCTCACGTATTTGTTTTGAAGTATCCTACAGTTTCCAAAAGACAAAAGCCCCAACAGCAGTTTTTTCCCCTGCAATGTTGCATCTTTGAAGAGAAGTATCATCACTAGATATGAGAGTTAGCTAAAACCCAGAACTCAACAGGAAAAGAGATTTGAGACGCCACATATCACTTCCACCTGCAGGCATGATGTTCTTTTTTATAGAAAATAAAAAACAACCATTTTTATTGACTGTACTGTAGATACCTGTACAGAGTGTAAACTTTAATATTTCACCAGATATGTGAATAATTCTGGAGAAAGAGTTATCAAGCACCTTCATTTCAACAAATTTTTGATATTTACAGTAAGATATACCTGATTAAGTGTATGAATAGAATGAATTAAAAGTTATAAAAAGTTATACAAAAAGACTTTTAAAATGTTTATATGTTATTTCACGATAAATACACAATTAAGAAGAAGATGTCACACATTTAAGATTCAGAATTGGCTCTGTTTAAAACTGTTACTGTTATGTCTGAAGAGGAAGTGAGGAAACGGGGATGTTAGCTTACTGCTCTGATCATGTCAGTGAAATGTGCTCTGGCAGAAGCCTCACAAGCCCTGTTTTGCTCTGCTGCAGGTTGTCTTGCAGGCAAGCTTCCTTCCCAACACACAGTGTAGAAGACAAACTTCACTCCCAGATTTGTACTGTTAATTTGACATAAGAATATGCATTCTGATTTTCCCCTCTCTAAACTTACTGGTGATGATGAAAATATCAACTTTGTTTTGATTTTCAGTGCATTTTTTTGCTGTTACTGAACATGGGGGCATATCACTATCTTTTATTCTTTTAAGCACCAAAACACAGGTGAGCTTGCTGAAAATCAGATTTTTGACTGCCATGGTATCTCATTGTCTACAAAAAGGCATGGTATGGTTTGCTAAAAAAAAAGATTGCTAGGGTAGAATTCAGAGACCACTTTCAGGCTCATAGAATCAAACACAGAAGTATTATTTTACAACCTCTCAGGAAACAAATGTGATTGTGTATCTCTTTAAAACCAAATGAATCAACATCCATTCTTTGATGAACTATCAGCAATTGTTTAAAATACTATATTTTGCTTAGTGGATTTTAGGGAACTTTTTAGGGATCCACCTCAGATGGAAGAAAAGTATATCTCTTAAGACTCAAAAATTTCAAATACATCCACTAAGTGGTGTTGATTATCTATTAAGAATCATGTGCTATAGCAAAGGATCCCATGAACCAGGGTGAGAATTATTATCCTTACAACACACTGATAAAGTACTGCTGTAATGCAAGAGTCAAAAGATGAGATTCAACTTTTGAAAGTGAAAGGACTACTAGTGAGAAGGAATGCAGCTAGGCATTAAATCTGTGATATTACTGGGTGTTCCACTCACATCTATCCATCTTTGGGACCCCCTGGTTGCTTCTCAGCTCGAGATAAGGCCCAGCCACATGGGCCTCATGATGGGCTTAGCATGCCACTGTGCAGATAACTTCTGCATACTCCAAGGTACAACCCAGTCTCAGGATTTGGGTAGTGCCACCCTCTTCATTCTGTTTGGTATTTGTTACTTTAATTTTGCCAGGAGACACATCCTCCTAGACCAGCACAGATGCAACTAATGCCTCCACATTTACCTTTAAAAGTAAGGGGATAATATTAAAAGGAATAAGGTAAAGTTGGACCCAACCTGGGCAGCTTTGTCTTGCTTAACTGCTACAAGACATCCAGTACCTGTGTGTATGTGTGACTGCACATGCACATTGTGGCTTGCTGTCAACAGCATGGAGCACTTATCTTTAGGGCTTGATTGTGTTGATAGGAGTGAACTGTTTACAGCACATTTCGAAAAGGTGTCTGCTGCTCTAAAGCTTATTTTAATGTTCAGTGTCTTTCTATACAATCCACTCCAACTGTGTTGTCAGGGCAGCGGCAAGTACGGCCTCCTGGGGTAGCCAAGCAGAGGTGAGTACAACCACCATTATTCACTGTGCAGTAGTTATGCCCTGGAAAAAGAGATGTAAGATGTTAAAGAAAAACAAATGTGAACCTACAATAAAATCCAAAACAGATATCTACAAGAGACACGCAGATTTTATGGTTACACTGAAGAAAAAAGCCATAATGAGATTAAGAGTGAAACAAAACTATGCTTTGGGCAGATGACAGTCACCATATCCTTTGTGTCACCTTGATATTCACATCAAAGAAAGATCAAGATATCAGGACAGAGTGGGAGAGGCAACATGAATCAACTGGGCTGTTCCTGAAATACATGTCATAAATTGGCCACATGGTCACAGACATTAGAATGAAGAGACAGTGGGTGAGGAAGTAGAGAGAATGTAATACGTGGGGGTAAAGTCCAAAATGCTACAGAACATCATCCTTGGATACCACCTACCACTAAAACATCGATGAATGATCCATGATAACAAAACGAAACAAAAAAATTGGGTGGGTGAGGAGGCATTAACATTAAAGCATAAAATGAAAGAGAAGGCAGTGCCAGAAACAGTGGGCTGTGAGGAGAGGCATCCATCCCAGGAAAACACTTGAAACAGATATAAGATGAGAAAGAAATGACATTAAGGTACTGAATATTATAGCTATAAGCACATACTCAGAGTACACAATGTTGTTTAGTTTTACATCATCTACCAAAATGGAACTGTGTATTAACTAGTAATAGCAATGTAACTGATTTCTTAATTATGATATTTATGCATTTTTAGGCTCTGAGCCAAGACTTCAGTAAAAAGTAAATTTCATTTAGTGCATATATTGAATAATTTGAAGAGAAACTATCTCGGGTGGTTTTTTTAGGCTTAAAGCAAAAATATTGCCGCTCCTATAATTCCAGACATGTTGTAATAAAAAAGGGTGAACTCTTCTCCTAACTGTGATTTGCTAATAACAACATTATTGCAAAGTGATGCTGCTTCTCAAAAAACAAATTATATTTCAAGGGTATCAACTTCCTCTCTTCCTCTTTTCAATAGGATGTTTGAAAAACTTAACATTCAACAGAGCAGAAAGGCCAGCTCAGCCCAGCCACCCCACCACCTGCTGTTTTCTGAACATTCCATTTTGAAAAACACTCAATCTCATTAAGGAGATCTGAAAGACCATAATATTTCCTTAGTTTAAACTTAAAAATAAGTAAATAACACCCCAGCCATGAATATAGCATTCAGTTTAGCTGATGAGCATCTGAACTGTCAAAAACTGCTATATCTATAATCTTGATCATAGACTTGTCCTTTCAAGAAGGACAGAACAGGCCCCTTCTCCCCTCCCAATTCTGCTTTCATGTGGCAACCACAAAATTTACTTTCATGTAAAAAAATTGAGGTGGCTTTGAATTTCTTAGTAAACAGAAATTTAGGCAGCAACCAGTTCTTCACTACCTAAATCAGCCAGCAGCTTATAAATGGGAGCTACTACTAGGGTCATTTATAAACTAAGGTGTTATGCAGCTGTAAAAACTCGAGAATCATATGGATTACCTCCTGGGCACTGAGCAAAGGCCGTGGTGATTCCATAGAGACGGGAGCGCTTGTGAGGCTGGAAGTTATCATTTTCTAATGAAATCATGCGATCCACTGCAACAACAGCATCCCTGCCATATGCAGAAGAGAATATACAGAAGAGAGATGAAGTGGAAGTACAGGGATAAACAAAACAACAAAACTAAAATCAAAAAGCAAAACCCCAGTAAACAAGCAAAAAACCCAAACAAAATCAAAAGTCTGAAGTTGCCTCTTTTTAACAATTAGGAAGAGGTTCCAGAAGTAAAATCCGCCAAGACATCATCTTTCCTGGACAAATCAAGTATGTTATGACTTTCATTCCAGGCAGCTAAGAAATTTAGCAGGGAGACTCCTTACTAATTTTGAAGGTACTTCCAATAGAGGACAATGTTGCCCTACCAGAGGGACATTTGTTAGTAGTTTTGACACATTCTTCATATTCTGCCCCTCCAACATGTTCTGTGGTATAGTTGTTGTTGCAGCTATTATGCATAATGATTATGACAATGTTATATTTCGGGTGGAGCCTGATCTCCAGAAGGAATACAGTTGGTCACAAGCAATCTTTTCTTCCTAAATATAAAAGGGCACTCAACTGACAAAGTTGTATCACACTTTCCCATTTATACAAGCCTGTTCTAGAATAGCACTTCCCAGCTGTTAGGTTCTAACTTGCAAATTCTTACACACATTAATAGCTATTAATAGCAGACAGAGCCATACAACCATTTACACCAGGGAAAAATAAATATTTTAAAATGCAGGGACCGGATTTATTTTCTGGAAATTTTAGGGTGAACTCTAAAGTCTTGATCATATGGCAGCATTTTTAGAGCATTTACTCTAAAATGCTCTGAAATGACACAAAGAAATCATCATCAAGACAGTAAACCCTTTTTTTCCCTCTTATTTCTTGTTGAGCATTCATATAATACAGGGCATAGAAAGCCAAGAGTAATGATTTTCTGCCCTTTACAACGCAGCAAGTATCACCATAAGGGAAACAAATTAGTGCCCACTCCTTTTCCAAAAATGTACAGTGTTAAAAGCATTTTCTTATAGGACAAATCACTCTGCTGAAAATGAAAACGCAGTTAACTGGCAGCATCAATAGGTCAGCTCTACAGATCCACTCCACTCTGGATCAGCTATCGTCAGGAAAGCAACAAAACAGGAATATGTGAGAGGTCAGACATGAGAAATGCAGTATGTACTTCAGTTTCTACCAGGGAGAAGAAAAGATTAAAGCACACCATAATTTCTTTAACAGATAACGTACCTTCTCCAGTCTGTATAGTATAAATTCTTCCCATAGCTTGTGACACCAAAAGGGTACTGAATACCTTCAACAATCTTTCGTCGACCAAGCTGGTTAGGGTTCATGCACTCCAGCCTCTTAGTACCTGGAACGTCAAGAAACAATTAAGCCTTTGAAGCAGAGCAAGAGAGTTCTCATGAGGGATGAAGGACAAGTACAAGCATGCAAGCAGGAACACAGTAAAAAGTCCTGGAGGTCTTTCAGTGTGCTGTTTAGTCAAAGCCTTCTTCCGTGTCACATCTATGCACGTGCCAAAAATTGAATGAAAAGTACTTTGGTGCTAATGCTAATCAGCACATCACCTAAGTTACAGTAACACAGATGTCCCATGAAGCCATTGCTCACAAGCTGAGATTCCTGCTACAAAGACCGGCATCCTCAAATTGGTGTGGAAGCTGACAGAAGGCTTCCTCTATTCTGGAGGGATACTTCAGCCATTAACTAGTTCCACCTCCTCTGCAAGGCATTTTTTCAAAGCTCATTTGGTGAGCATGTTCCTAAAATGCTTGCTGGGTTGAGCCATGAGGGTGTGACTGCAGGAAGACCATCTAACTTGTAGATGCAAGTAGGGTGCAAAAAAGGTCTACCTGCAAAACTACTACAGGCTAGGAACACCTGTAGTTTTCTCCTAAACAGTGGGTTTCAAAATTAGACAAAAAGAGAAAAGAGACAAATGTGAGAACAAGAAAGGCAGAGAGAGAAAGGAATTAGAGATAGCAAAAGAAGATATATTTGAAGGTTAGAGAAAGTGTTTTATGGTGAAAAATAGAGTTCAATTATTTTATTTTATTCAAAGCTTGAAAGGTGACTTGAAGCATAGAAGTGCCTCCACAGGAAGACATCTCTGCCAGAGTCTACAGGGAGAAAGACAACAAGATGCCAAAAAAAACCCCAAATAATTAAATGAGAATTAAGAACACACTTTTTTTTAACCAGTAAGACACTGGCACAAAACAAGCAGTGGGTCAGTGGCAGAACATTCATCTCTTGATCTTTAGGGTGCATTGCTTTTTCAGGCCTTGCTTCAGTCAAATATAAGCCAGACTTGGCCTCAGGTTACAGGTCTTAGAACAATAGTGCCAGGATGACATTCTGTAAGCCAGATCAGATAAACCTGTGTTTTTTCTCCTGTTCTTAAACTAACTTCTTCTACAAAGGCCTAAGCATTACCTAAAGAGATGGTCACATATAAGACACACAGACAACATCTGTTGAATTCCTAGAGAGTTTTGTGATCAGAAATTAAATCTTTCAGCTTGCACAGAGACTCATGTGAATTCCACAGCTACCTGGAATAAATCAAGAGATCGTTAAAGCCAAAGCAAAAGGCATGAGGTTTGACATGTAGCTCAAAGAGTACATAATTTCAGGATTGGAAATATTTGTTCTACTACTAATATGAAGAAACATTTTAGCACCTCTTTACCTGCATCTACCCAGCACAGCATTGAGGAATAAGGATCAAATGTCAGTCCATTTGGTAACCCAAGATCATCTTTAACAAGAATTCTTCTGTTTGTGCCATCCATGTATGAGGTTTCAATTTTAGGAGCTTCTCTGTTCCAGTCAGTCCAGTACAAGTTTCTTAAGAGGAAGAAAAAGGCAAGAGTCAAGACAGTGACTGATCTCAAAAGACTGTTGTAATTAAGGAAAATGCTAAGGACACAAAAGTAACACACACCTCCCCCAAATAATTTATATAGATAAGAAGAATCACATTGCACTTCAATATAGAAGTCACAAAAGTATAGTAAAGATGTAGGAAACATACTTTCATTAAAAACAAAAGGAACAAGCACACACATGAGAAGAAATGTTTTCTTTACATTGTTTAGCTTTTGTGCAAGATGCCAGCCAAAAAGACCTCTATTTCAACGGTTCTAAGGAGCATTCAAGATGTACATCTACATTTTGAGTTCTTCATCTCGCTGTCCATCATGTCTGCTCAGGCTGAAGCAAAAGTATTTGGCATACATTTGGGATTCATTTGAAACTACAACTTCCTTTTCAGTGCACCAACTAAGCAATATACAATGGAATCAGAGTAGTTTATCCTCAGGGGAGGTCCTCAGAGAGGGCCATTAACTCACTGATGTTTTCTTATTATTGGTCATTTTTTAGTGGTGTTTTTTCCCCTTGGTTGTACATTCTGTGGCTGAGAAATTACATGGTCCCTCAATGCAAGAATCTTTGTTGTTTACTCCTTAATACACACACACAGTCCACTATGAGACAGAAGTCTGTGCTGCTTGATCTGAACCCAGAGACCTACTCTGTCAGTGGGGTTCTGCACAGAACACAGGTCTCTCCTCAGTCTGATTACTTTGTGTCTCTGCACTTCTCTCACACCAAAGTGCATTTGCTTCTCCTCGTTATGATGCTTGATGTGCATCCACAGATCAACTATTATGTGACTATGATATAAAAGCCTATTTTGTATTAAAGGAATTAGAGAAGTCAATACTATTACTTTTTTATTTAATTTTGTATCACTCCAAACTTCATGGATCATATGCATTCTTTTCTCACTGCTAACCTTGTTGGCAAACATCTGGAATCAGGATGCCCCTTTCAAAAAGCTCTCCCTGAAAAGAACAGTACTTTTGTATAGTACTAATGTCAATTAAGCAGTCATTTAGTAGAGCTTCCTAGCAATTCAACACTGAGAAAGCCTCTATGCTTCTGAGCATTTTGAGTTGCATGAGGGCAACAGCAGGCAAGTTCAGACAATAATTAACAGACATGCACTACTATGGACTCTGTACTAGTTTTAATTTTCCCTGCATTTCTTTCAATATTCAGAGAGAAAAAAAATGTCAACTGATCAAAGACTACATAAAAGTATGTAGTACATTAATCTTTGCAGGCTGGAATCTTAACTTAAAAACATTTACACTTTCCTACTGACACTCTGCTACAGGCTCAATTTTTAAAACATGTAGTTATCTGCATCTTCTAATAGAAGCCTAATAGAATCTTCTCAGACAACTCAATGACAGAGGTAAAACTGATGATAGAAGAGATACCATGGGAGTTTTCAAAGATGGAACTATATAGGAAGAAGGGTTGTCATGATGGAAATGAAAATATAAGATTGCTTAATCTAGTATTTTAGACCAGTAATCTCACGAAAAAAAACATTCTTAGGTAAGGACAATGCTTGTCATCCTACAAACAATGTACTGAAAGCCAGATACAAATAACTATTTGAAAGGTACTCAACAAAATTGTCTAGCACAGTACTGTCTAGCAGCCATTTCAGAATTTTCATTTCCAGTATACCACTCAGACACAGGACACAAGTAGATTGTTTCATTCCTGTTTGTTAGCTGTTTTAAGAAAAGGTAATCTATTATTATCTACAGACAGTCGGAAAACACAGACTCAGAGTACACACTCATGTTAAATAATTAAATAAAGTTAAGCTTGCACATATCTCTTGACAGCACATCCATACCCTCTCACAGGATCCACGACAATTGCTCTGGGGTTCACCAAGCCGGTGTCAAAAAGGATGCGACGCTGGCGCCCATCCAGCCTAGCCACTTCTATTCTATCCAGCTGAGAGTCAGTCCAGAAGATGTTGCGACCTAGATGATCTACAGCTATCCCTTCAGGGCTTCCCAAGTCTGCAGGAGGAAAACAGAGAAAAACATTCCTAAGCATTATATTTATTCCCAATACACATCAGCCTCATAAGCATAACTTTTAACTGAGATAAGTTTTCTGGCTGTGGTCCAACAAAAGCTATTTCGTGTCATTTGGAAGAGGAACATACATTTTACCTCAAAGTTTAAATAAACAAAGCCTTCAAAGACATAGAATGACATGTTCTTTGAGGAACAAACTCACCATACATGTAAGCACTCTTTGAGAAGCAGACATAGAAAAAGCAGATAGCAGAGAAATGAACAGTAGATAGTATCAGAATCTTATTCTACCCTCCTTAGCAGGTCACAGAGTGGATTTATAACCCTTAATATTTCTCCTTCTTTGGTACTGACATACATGAAAACTGGGTTTATGCTAAGTTTAGCCAATGCAATAATTAAACATAATCAAACTCCAAACACTAGAGACAATGACACTAGCTAACTGATGCAATTTAGATCCAGTTCTTTGTTTTTGCAGAGCAATCCTTTTTGGAACATGTTTTAGCACTGTATGTGCACAGTTTTTCTTGGACAGTTAGTTGTTCCAAAAGCAACAGGAAATAGCAGATAATGACCTTACTGCTCTTGCATTAGTAATTTCTAACTTGGACAAAGGATGCAGAAGAAATATATAAAGTTTAATTCAGTCATGATGAGAAACTGCTCTCTAATTTTCAAGGTTCATGCATCCATTGAAAAGAGCAGGTAGGTCGTGTGGGATGTAATGAAGCCAAAGTCAAGTAAAAAAAAAAATTTAGTCCAATTTCAGTTCCAAAAGAAGAATTGTACATGGCCACTCCCCAAAAGAGATGAAATGACCCTTCACACCGGCCAGCTATTGAAAAAAACCAAAAACTGCACCTTTCAGATGCTGATCCACACACTGATGGAATGTGGCCCATTAGCCTTCTTTTAATTCTCAAGTTTATTTACTGACAGCCATTAAACAAACAGTATGTAACAGAAGTAACTTTTCTGGAGAAAACGCATTTGGCCCAGAACATTGGGTAGAGCTCTCTAAAATTTGCTACTGTGACTTTGCTATGAATAACAGTTGCACAATATCTTAAACATCCCCTGCTCTCTCACTCAAGTGGATTACACTTACCACCCTTCATCTGCACACATGACATTTTAGATTTATATTAATTGCTGAAGAGAGAGAAAGGAACAAATAAGATGTATCTCACTGCTTCTGACTCACAGCTCATGTTGGGGGGAGAGGGATCCCAGTCTCCGGGATCAGAATATTACTGACTAAATGGTGGTGGAGGAGCTCCCAGAGTCTTTTAGGAAACAGAAGACAGTAGCAGGCAAAAGATCTGCTGTCATGGATTCCTAGGAGACCCTGCTCCCTGACTAGTTTCCTTGTTTCAATTTCCTTATGTCAGCTATTTGTCAGGAGATTTAAAGAAGTCTAAAGTAAATGTCTCCTCTGTGCGGTTGATTATGAGCCAGAAAAAACTGTCCTCCATGGAAGGAGAGGTAAGGGAACATTTAAGGCTTCATGTATCACCAGTCTTTCCAGAGGCACAAATATGTTCCTGCTATATTGTCATCAGGCCTGACAGTCACAGGCTCTGTCCCTGAGGACAGGTTTGTACAGCCATGCACAGCTGATATGACTTGAGCAATCACAGCAAAGGAAAGCTCTCCTCAACTTGCCTCCACAGCTGCAGAACTGAGAAAGCCTCCATAGGTTATACAGCTGCAGGGACAGAGAACTGGATGGGGCTCCACAATAAAATATGTTTCTGCAAAGCAATGCAACTTGGATCACAAAAGCTTTAAAAAAAACCCCAAAAAAGTAGTACATTCCACAAAAATACACATGAACTGAAGAAAGCAGCTGGAGCTCACAGGAGGAAAAAGCCAAAGATCAAACCAAAACAAAAAATTCTCATGAGTCTTCTGAGAGGGAGGCATTTTCCTATTTCATGAGATTCTAAAGTTTGTTTTGGCCAGCATAGGAGATATATTCAGTATTTGAATGGATTCAGTATTATTTTGGTCTGACCCCTTATTGAAATGCCCATTAACATATCGAAGGCGAAGTAAAACGTCGCTCCTAATCTCTTCAGGAACAGCAGTCATTTCCTATGCCAACAACAGAAATCATGAGATGTTTACCCATACAATGTTTTTTGTAGCAGATAAAACCCACGAGGTTTCCATGTGACATTGAAGCATCTCAAATTACCTTAAATAATCAATCTAATTTAGTTGAAAGTCTTCAAAAATATTCTTCCAATATTTTATACATTGCAAGAATTTTAATGTGTACACACACTCTCATTAGACAGACATTTGTATCCATATAAAATTTTTAACAGTAGTAATTCCCCCCATTTTTAAAAGTGCAGATTCTGAAAAAATACTTTAGAAGTGGGCATCAGAAATCCTTTCCTGAAGAATTTGTAAATTGCATAAGGATATGCTTTTACTACACGTTAGTCCCTTTCAGATTAAATATGTAGGGAGGTAAAAGAGGTCTTACAAATACCTCAGCCATAAAGTTGTACAGAACTATGAATCTCCATAACTACTGGAATGGTTAGGGATGGCCTTAAGCTCTCCCTTTTCCCTTCCTAGGACAATGGTAGGATCCAAGCCACCCCTATCTCTCTGCTGTCCCTAAGAGCTTGAATGGAATCTCCACAAACTGGCTATTCCAAAGCACAAACTCCAGGCAGCAATTCTCTACACATCCAAAGAAAACTGAAGCAAATTTATTGTAGAATTTTAAAACCATATGATAATTTCTCTAAAATAGTTTCCTAATTTTTTGTAACAATGGCTGCAGAGGATTCAAAGTAAGGGTGACCTCCTCCAGTATCTTGACTTCACAGGTGTTCTAGGATCCTAAGGACACTAGTATTCAAAATGCCTCCAGCTATTTTTCTGGTTTTTTTTTTAATGATGCCCCCCACACACACCCCATTCACTTTGTTCTCCAAACCTATCCTTTCCCTTAACCCTTTCCACTCAAAAAAGGTTTTAATATCTAAGCTGCATGGGCTTACAATTAACCCTTCTAATGAAAATGAACATGGACTGCAGTGAGAGCAGATTCTTCAACAAAAAAGTGTAAGAATAAGATACAAACTGTAAAGGCACTAAGTCCACAATACCCTCTAGTCCAATTCTCAAATCCTTGAGCAACTCCAAGGGCAAAAACCTAATGAGGTGGCTTTATTCACTTGCATTTTACAACTTGAGCGGTAGGCATGGAAAGTCACAGCTGAAATGATTTCTAACCACTTTTCAACTGTTTTGATCCCCAAGCCAAGGAACAGAGCAGGAGTTCTCCTCTTAAACCTCAATGCTCACCAGAGTAGGCAGCTGACTGGCAGAGATCAGGAGAGAAAGGGACTACACATAACCAAATCTCAGCTATCCAGCAATTACCTTGCTTGCCAGAACAAAAAAATCAGAGAATGACGCCCACAGATGGCATTCTGTGTTAATACATAAACACAACTCTTTAGTCAGCTCAGGCAACACCTAGGAAGTATATGTTACTAAATTCAAGTCTCTAATACCATTCCTAGGGAGTAGCAAGAGAAAGAATTTCGTGCTGTTACCTGTTTTGATGAGGGTGGTTGGCTCCCCACCATTCAGGCTAGCCCTGCTGATCGAAGGGCCGCTGATGTCTGTCCAATAAACCATCTTGTCCACACAGTCATAAGCAACTCCAATAACAACTTTGTCCTGTTGGTCAACAAGCAAGTTAGATCAGCCTAGGCTAAACAATAATTATTTGGCCAGCAGCAGCTTATGGTTTTAAGTCTCAAGGCTGAAAAAACAAAATTCTTGAGGGAAGATGGGAGATGAGGACAACAGGCAGAGAAAATGATTAGGTGACAGTCACTGTCAAATAGCTTAAAAAAATACTTTCAGTCATAAGTCCCTTTTAACTAGATAACACCATTTACCATTATTTCAAAGCAGCATTGTAGGTATTAGTACTGAACAACTGGTCTGACTTTTACAACTTCACCATCTAAAGAAAGTTCATGTTGACATTTTACTGTTATCCCTCATGCTTTCTTTCTTTTATTCTTTCCCTTTAAGGGGGAATAATGACTTCTGTCAAATCTGACTTGCATTGACATGCAACCCATGCACTCCAGCTCCGTTTCAGTGTTACCTACATGGCATCATTTGGCTAAAAAAAACTTCTAGCAAAGCAAGGTTTTAAAATAAAAAATAGCTTAAACAAATACTACATAAATCATTCTGCTGGAAACAGTATTCCCAGGGACAAGGAACATTCATATGGAAGAAAGATAGGACTAGAATTTGAATTTGGAGTTCAAACTCTCTCCTCCATGCAAGTGAAAGAAACTTTCAGGGTAAAACAATTTTACATGGATTCCCAGGTCTGTCACAGTTGCTGCTTTTGTAACTTGCAACTTCTCAGAAAAATGGTCCAAACCCATGCATTAAAACAGATGCACTTAATCATCAGCTTACCTAATGCTGTAGGTTGCAAAACAACCTAAACACCTCTACTGTCACTTTGCAAATACACATCACAGACAACACAGAGTCAACAGCATTAGCAGAGACTGAAAGTTTCATTTTAATTGAAAGTTTTAAGGAAGAGTTGCATCTTATCTCTTGGAAGTTCATTCCTGAAAATATTTCTATATTAATTCATTTAAGCTAGATCAAGTAAATAATGATACAAGCTGAAAAGGATTCAGAATCATGTCTCTTTCAGCCTAACTATCCCATTTTACAGACAGTATTTTACTTTATTTTTATGGTACTGCAGCAGCAGTTTAGACAAGGGTCAAAAGCTTGATTTCACCCTTACATTACAGCAGTTTGTGGTATTATTTACTGAAGTGAATCTGTGTAATTTAGATAGTATTTGGTTTACTAAATACTCACTGTAATATAACTGGAATGAAAACAGAAATTCTAGGCCTCAGGTAAAACAAATTACTGCTATGAAACTGGAAGTGAAAAGGGTTGGCATGTGATACAGGTGACTGAAAATAGGCCTTCTCAGCATCAGGAATTCATTTACAAGGAACAAAGATTTTGAAGAAAGTAGTAAGAAGCGTGGGAAAATGATTTGCCACCCACTGGGCCTGCACATGGAGAAGGAAGCAACAAGAAAGGAAGAAAAATATATATGTAGCCAAGAAGTGCAGAGAACTGACTAAAAAAGAGGAATAGATTAAGACTTAGGAAAAAGCTTTGAGGGAGTAAGAATGAAAAAAGGGCCTCTCCACATACTGCTATTGTAGGTCTCCTAAACTTTTATACCAGTGGAAGTGTGAGTATAGAGAAGATTATATGATGAGCTGTTGGAGATATGAGATTAGATTTTGTCTTGTGAGCTATTGTGAGTTGTTCTTTAAAGGCAAATAATTTCTTTTATAGCTCAGCTTTAAGCTTTTTGACTAGATAGATCAGTAGTTTTCAGTGACAAATTGATGCAATACTGAAATTTTAATCAAGAGTATAATTTGAGTTTTGAACTTAAATTATCAAGTTATGTAGACAAACACTAACTTTCATCTTTGTCACGAATCTTCTAAAAGACATGGACTTAGTCTACTAGGTTACTTACTGGAATATGCAAGAGTGCTTTTGCACCATTTTTCTTCATATTGTTTCCCTCTAGTGGAACATGTTCAATTTTACCACTTTGGGCAAAGAGCAGGTGCGTTCCTGGCGGCAGAGGTACTGTGTCTGGTCGAACAGAGGGCCCAATAACAACAGGAGGAGCAGCTGTGCTTAGACCTTGTTAATAGAGAAGGGAACAGATCAGGAAAAAATTAGCTTGTACAGCACAACAAGGCTCCTTATTATTTGCAGAGACAATTACAGTCAGACTTCTCAGGAGGAAACAGCCCTATAAGCAGACACTAATAACTATAATCAGATGCAGAAAGCTGCTGAAATTTCCCCCTTGGCTGACAGAGAAGTTCTTTTCATGTTCAGCTCTGTAATTGCTCTTTCCTTTGAATGTCTAGAAAAAACTCTTATTTTGGAACTGAAGTGAGGAAGACGTAGGAAGGAATATCCTTCATTTCCTGAGGCAACTCAGGTTCCACAGCTCCCAGAGGGCAGAGACTATATGGGCCTCTCATAGTTTCTAGGTAGGGAAGAAGCTAGAAAACTATCTTCTTATTCAGAAGCTCACCACAGCTGTCCGGATGCCCTGGCTGAAGGAAAAATGTGTGTTGGAGTTACTGAAGGGCTGCAGCATGAGGCATATCATCATCGGGACAACAAAAGCCTGAACTGCTATAGTTCAGTGCTACATCTCAGGGGCACGACTAAGCCCCACATTTGGAAGACAGTGCATTTGGGTGGAGAGATACCCACAAAAAACAACTGCTTCAGCCACTTACATGGTGGACGAACTCCTGGTCCACTTCTCGTGCCATCAATCTCATTTCCATTCCTATCCACACACCAACAATATCCACTGCCAGAATGGCACTGAGTGGGTAGGTAATTCCCATGCTCATCACACTGGGGAATGAAGTGACCAACTCTTGCATCCCTTGGGTAGAAAGCACCTCCACTGCCAAGAGCTACTTCTCGTTCATGCTGGCATTTGGACTTTTCCGGTTCTGGGGAAAAAACACAACAACAAAACAAACAAACACAAACATCAGTGAATATTTTTGTGTCACTAACAACTACATTCCATTAACAGTTAACATATGCTGATCACCTACACACAAGCATTCTTACCTCTATAGGAACATGGCACTGTTATCAACCTTGAAGGTATATGCCTTCAAGTCTGCCCTATGAAAGTGTGACACATTTGCCCTAAACCTATGTTATTTTGTCTTCCACCGTTTATTTTAAGAGAGAACAAACAGGTCCCCTGCACCTTTCTTCAGTGGAGAAAGAACAGAAGGTGGAAACCATGGTCTTTCTCCTTGAGGCACATGAGCAAGGCCATTCTGTTTGATGTTCAAATTTGATGTCTACCCATTGGCAATTATTCCACGGGCCTTAAAATGTGACTAATTAACCAGACCACAGAGTGGCTAAGGGTCGTTTTTGTAATGCTAAAGGTCGAGTTTCTCTTCAGAGCCACAAGAGAAAACCACAAATGAGGCAGATGCTGGAAGTAGCTCATTGCTATGAAGTATATTAGGTTATTAAAGATCAGCTGTCAGGTTTGAGCACTCATTTGATACTTTTGCATCTAAGAAGGGAATTACAGGGACAGATTGTCCAGTTCCTGGTAAAGCAGAGAAACATATGAGACGCACACACATGCATATGTATTACTGTAGAGGATACAGAGGGAAGACGAACTTTTCAGGTTATCAGGAGATTCAGAGATCTGGCTTTTTACATTTCAATTTTACAAAGTAGTCTGGACTAAAATATACATCTCATGGTATTACCTGTTAAACAATAGGGAAAGTCATCTAGATCAGTATATTGTTCTAGATGCCAAACAACATAATAAAATTATAAGAATACAATAAAAATAACATAGTTCCTTCCTCTGGCTTAGTTTTACCTTACACTTGAGGACCCTGAAGGTTTCTGTGTGCTGGGAGAAAAAGAGCTCTAATTATGGGGGAGTATCTTTTTCCTGTAAATGATTTCTACAGACAGAAATACTTAGCACAAACTGTGTGCTGAAGAGACTTTAACATTACACTTCCATTTATTCCTTGTTTTTACACTGCTTGGTAGACAGCCTTAGTTATGTGTGGCTCAGATTAGGCCCAGCCCATCTGAGCAGAAACCTAATCCCATGCATCTACAGACTGTTGTGGTGTAAATTACACAAAATCAAAAAAGAAGGGTAGTTTTTTATTATTTAAACTAGTTACGCAAGCAAAACTTTGGACACGTTTCATGCACCTGGACACAATTAGAGAAATATAAATGACTGGAGAATGGTTGACTCTAAACAACTGAAATATTTGGCATCACTTTTAATGTGGGTGGTGGAGAGTCTTGAATCAACCTACAAAACCAGATCCTGTAGGAAAGCGTCCATTATCTGTCTCAAATTTTGTTTTCACATATTCAATGTGCTATGCAGTATGCAGATAAAAGAAATGCTGATTTCAGTCACCAGACAGTTTTGCCACCATTTTTATTTATTCTAAACTTTCATTATATGCAGTGCTCATGAGAGAAAGCAGGGAGAATACAGAGTACTGGTAAACTGACCCCCCTGCTTTTGTTCAGTGCAGGAATAAAAATCTCAGTTGCATTCCTATGATCTTTGAGAAATACTATTACCTGCCCCTCAGCAGAAACTGGTCTTTTTTCCTCCCATCTGAAACTTACAAAATTAGAGTAAATCCCGAGAGTTTATAATTTTTCTAATCAATAGTCTATATGAAAATGAATTAGCAAATATGATTTATAGAAAGGAGTATGTATACCCTCCCAGTTAGGACACAGCTGTTATACATAAGATATGTTAGTGTTACTGGTAACTTGAAATATCAGTATCTGTTCTAAATTTCAAGACAAGTCCACATTTATATTTGCAGATTTTATATGGGATTCTGATTAAATTTTTCAAGAGTACTTATATTGCAAAGATCAAGACCAATCTCAAAAATTGCCTGATAAGGCAATTAACAACACCGAAGTCAAGAGACTTAAACAAATTAATTTTCAAAAATAGCATTAAGTTCCTAGAAGGTGGAGGATATGATTTGCTCTTTCTAAAAAAGATAGAGATGACAGTGGGTTGGTAGAAATAGTCTGGTTATACTGTTTATACAGTCCTATGTTTTACTCAGTATGCTTAAGAGAAGATGCTCCAATTTTGAAAATTTTAAATTGCTTTAATTAACTGTCTGAAAGGAGGCTAGCTATGACAGAGTTTGAAAGATGAGCCTGACACAGCAAACAAAGCACATTTCCTGCCTTGATGACATAACAGCATAAGTTAGACAAAACACATAACAAGAAATGGCACATATTTACATAATACAAGGGCTACTTTGTAAGCCAGCTTCTAGACACAAACCTAATAATCAGTATATTTCCTTCACTACAGCACCCTAAATGTGGTTTCTTAATGATCCTGTCTTTAATATACATACTGTAATATTTCATCCAGTCAAGATTCTTCAAAGATACAGAACAGTTAAGAGGAGAGTTCTCTGATCTCTAGATTGGCAAGAAGAAAATTTCCATTAAATATAACAGGTAGAGCTAAGAGCAAATAACACCTACCTGGTGTAACAGTGTTGTTACATCTACTACTGCACCTGATTGCAGCAAATGCAAAACAAGTCATGCCTATTTCAAGGCTCTATGTCCAGGAATTACTAGGCACGATTTTTAGAGGTTCTTTAGATTCTTATGAAACCCACATTTGAAAGCCAAGCCAAATGATCATGTCAATGATGAGAAAAATTATATATACTAAGGTTAGTTCATTCTGCCAGAGATGAAACAACCAGTGAAAGCAAGACCTTGGCAATCCTTTGTGACACGATAAAGCAGGGGTGGCAGCAGCCTTTTATTAACAGCAGGGCCAAGTTCTAGTATCTTTTCCGTATATGTTTAAACATTACCAATCAGCATTTGCTATAAAATAAGTAAAACCCAGTTGCCACTGGGTTTTGGTGCAGTTGATGCTTGACTGATGAAGGTAATGCACTGATCTAAAAGCTTTGTGTTTCCCTATAGCATTCTACACAGGCCCACAGGACAGTGTCGTTTTTGAAACGAAGCACTATACTGTGGGCTACCTTAATTTGGTAAATGATAAAAAATTGAAAAAAAAATCAGAATAAGTAGTCAAATGTCATGCAGTAGTGGCATCTTTAGTAAATTCCCATTTTACCTTAGTCTTGTTTATAAATTTCCTATTAAGAAATCTAATTATTTTGTTTGAATTCCAGAGGAAAATATGCAACCGTAGGTTGCATCATTTGTGGAAGAGAAACAGATCAAAAAACATGAGAAGTACAAGACGTAAATGTAAAGTTACACTTCTTGAAATACGTTTCTTGAAATATCTTTAAATAGAGTTACCTTGGAAACTACAATCAGAAAAAGCTATCAGCAGGTCACAGCTCAGTGCTGTGGAGACTGTGAGAGGGTATAAATAAGAATTCAACATATACACAGGGAACAGCACACAGGTATAGAAAAGAATACGAGGCTGGGGAGATGATTCAAGGAATACCGGGTCCAGCTTCGGCAATCACGGTCCAAGGAAACAGTGAAAAACTGAATGACTGTACAGAAAAAAGCTCCTAAGGTAGAAGTTGTAGAGCAGAACAGAGATCAAGGGTGTGATAAAGAATTTGTGTCCCATGGACCACAGCACACACAAGTCAGAGTAGATATGCAGAATGGTGCAGCTTGAAATTATGCTAAATGTATATCCTTCCTCAGAAAAATAAATTTGTATCCAATGTTTTAAACACTTTTTTTTCCCAGTTGATTTGTAAATTACCAATGGCAAACAGGAATTTGAAAGTGACTGAAATATATAATGGAACTTGAATAAATGAAATCAAAGTACATTTTTACCTGATGTTTTCAAATGTTGGAGTAAAAAAAAATATTATGAAAATACCCACATGAAAATAACACACTACCCTTTGTCTCTTTATTTTCCTTTGTAATTCTTCACTTATAGTTTTGCTCTGGTAAGTGCGTTTCTCGTGTGAAACTAGTTGCATACACAGGACCAGAGAATGGCTCTTAACAGTTCCTAGTTCCAAGAATCCAGACTTGTTTCTGTTTAGTAAACAGTGTCTGCGGTCTGCAGAGGTAGAAACACTCAGACATCTGGGTTTTTTTGAAATGGAAAAATGAAGCGTGAGGAAATAATGAAGTACAGACTTTCTTAATAGCTGGGAGCAGCGGGACATTCCAGCATCATTAACTCTTTCATTAACCTGCTGGTTCACTCCTACAGACGTTCTCTTGTGTGTGACTCGAATCCATTTTTCTTCTTAGTTTCTAGTTCTACTTGTTTCAAGAGTTGCCTTTCAGCACTGTTAAGTTTTAACAATAGGTTTCATGCAATAATAAAGACACCAAACAAGCAAGTAATTGCAACATGGGTTGGAACAGGGTACAGCAAAAAAGAACTGTGTATTCGAATGAATGAAACTTTCCATGCTATTAACAACCAGGAAAGACTTCAGTTACTTCACAGAGGCTAATTAGATCAAAACCTTAGCGGGTAAAAAGGGGAAGAAAGGGTCTCTAATTCCAGCTGAATACAAACAATACAGCCTCATCTGCAGTCTCCATTCTGAAGCAACTTAATTTACAAACCGGGTGCTAAAGTAAACTAAGCTACTTTTGGTAGGCTTCAGAAAGTATAGTTTGTTTCTATCTCCTGGCAATGATTAACTGATGGATATATCCATGTTAAAGGCACTAAAGCTTTAGCAACAGATGACACCCCAAGGGCAGCTGCTGTTCTGTTAACTCTAAGAAGGGAGCAGTAAGATAAGCTGTAAACACTGCTATTGCTGCAGACTAGCAGAGCAATACAGATACTCCCTATTTCAGTAACGATTCAGCAAAAGTGAGACTTCTTATCTATACAGATTTTTTTTCTGCTCAGAGCATTTAATGAGCAGAGACACAATTGATAGAAGTGTTTCTGAAAGCTTGTCTTCTACTGATAGTACAAAACTATATAAAAAAAAAGGCAAAACAGTGAGGCATAAATAAAGACTACCAAAACCTGGCAGATCTTCACCCACTAAAACAGTAGATACAGAACTCTCAAAAGTATTTTGTTACTACTATTAGAATGGTGACACGGAAAGATTACCATTCAAAATACAATTGTGTTGAGTACAGAAAGTGAAGAAGTGTACAGGATAAGCAGCAAAAAATAACAAAGTTACTACAAAATAGTACACTGTGCTTAGCAGTTTTGTAGACACTAACCAAAGCATGGGAAAAGGTATTGTTCTTAACAACAACAAAAACCCCTAAACAAACAAACAAAATCCAACAAAAAAACCACAAAAAAACCCCAATCCCCCCAAAAAACCTCAAGTAAATTATCACATATACTCAGAAGACATTGACTGTATTCTGGTAAAAAAGTTAATTAGTTGACTTCAAGTATCAGTCTTCCAAACCACCTGTTTCAGGTACAAAAGGTATGTGGCAGACATGAAAGCAATATTTTTTTCCTCTGCAATTCTGCCTGAAGAACTGGAAGCTTTAAGGTTTAATTTGCTTCAAGTTATTCACATCAAATTTCTCCTCTAGGAGAAATAATTCTGTTTCTATCAGCCGACTGGTTAGCTAAATATTTTGACACAGGTCAGAAACACTAGGTTCTTCATTCATCTAGCATTAAAATGAAAATACTCATGGGTGATCATGCATGAAAAGTTAGTTAAAAATAATATTAAAAGATTTACAAAGTGGTAAAAGCTAGACTTCAGAATTAAACACTGCAAAACCTCCAATTTACCTATGATAGAAAAATCTACACGCACTGGGTGATTTCACATAACATGATGAAGTGTCATGTAAATACAATCTAAAACCAGAAACAACCTTGTGAATTCTTTTTTTTAAATACTTTCCTTTAAACAACTCTTTGTCTTTTAATTTTAAAACACAAGTATCCAATTATGCAAAAAAAGAAAAGTCAGAAATTCAGAATTAGGGAATATAGTGGCAAAAGAAAATATATTAGTTTTCAGGTAGTAATATTGTGCTATACAGACAAGCACTTTCAAACAAACACATCCACTATTAAAACAAATGCACAAACAAACCCTCCTCAATTTTGAATCAACAAACACTTTGGACATCATTAAGACCACAAGGTAGAAGGTAAATTATGAAGAGAGCCTCCCTTCCCAGTCATACTGCTTCTTGCTCTCTTTCTCTGTGGGCCTATGACTTTCTTCTTACTCTTGACTGCACATTTTGAGTTTCATTCTGTTCAGAGATGAAGGGATTTTTGCCCAACAGCAAGGTTAGAGGAAAGAGAATTGGGTTTGAACAAACAGAAGCTAAGCTTTATTTTCTGGATGAAAGTATTCACCTTTCTGCAAAACCTGAGTGCTGTCCCAGAGGTTTGCCATGCTGTTGAACTAAAGTAACCATAACAATGCTCCTTTGTGCTTCAGTGTTCCTTATTTTCTTTCTTTTTAAGCATACCTTCAAGATGAGGAGTTTTATACTTCAAGGCCCAAAGCACAATGGAGGAACAGAAGTGTGGGATGGTAAAGAACTTTCTGTTGAACAGAGAACAAGCTGAGTAAATACAGAAATAAGTGCCAGCTAGAAACCATAGTCTTTCTGGACTATAGGGTATATGTGGCATGTAGGTATCTAGATACCACTGCAGACAGTCTCATGACTTTGGTCTCATTTTTCACTTTACTCCTGTAATTGTACTCATTTGCATTGCCAACAATTCCAGATCTTTTATGGTAAGTGACTGAGTATGCAAATCAAATCACCCCCCATGGTCAAACCTTTACAGAAGGCAACTTCAAAAGATAATATCAGCTTGGGGCCGAAAATTGCTGAGGATAGAACAAACAAAATATAAAACAGGATATTGAGCAGGATATCATGGAAAAGTGATAGCAGTCAAGATACAGGTTTTGACACAAGCTTGGTGAAATTCTAAATTTGAAAGACTTAAGAAAGAATAAAGAATAAAGAAAGAATAAACACACATGTTGTTTCAGAAAGAAATCAAATTAACATATATCCTCCAAATCCCAAATTATATTTCTGGTTCAATTTGCAAGAACTATATAATTTTACCTCCTAACACACATCGGAAACCATCCCCACGATAACCTGCCTTACACTGGCAGCTGAAGGAACCAGGAGTGTTATAGCAAAAAGCATCTGGATGACAGTGGCCCTGTTGACATTCATCTACATCTGTAAAAGAAAAGAAGAATCTCAGGTAACTGTTCCTCCTGATGGACAAATCAGAGTGATGAAAAAATGTGCAAACCTGACATATTTTCAGGGTCCTATTTTAGGATATCTGATTAGACTTACAGATAGTTCTTTGGAAGTACATCTAATACAGAAAGACAAAGGAGAAAGAAAAGCATGCATGTATTTTAGATTCTGTATCTCTACATTCTGCTATTCCAAAGGGTAACTAGCATTATTAACACACACAGTATTTTAGAAATACATGTCTATACTTCTCAAGGAAATTACTTAACACAGCAAGAGAAGTAGGATTTGAACAGCAGTATTTCCAACATGTAATTAGGTAAATCTTCTCCCCCACTGCACTCTGACTGACATGAAACAGAACGTAATTTTTTTACATAGTCTAAGCATTATGTTTCACCACTGTAATAATATAAACCAATACAGTGCAAACACATCCAGCAGATGAAGATCTGCAACTACAAGTACTGCAGCTTCTGCAGTTACCTCACCTTGGACCTTCTATAGCCCAAATATTGAAGAGTGAATTCAAAAACTGAGGGGTGGAAAAGACATATGCTTAATACAAATGCCCACCTGAGGGACTTAAACTATGAAATTTCCTACTTTAAATCACAAGTAACTATATGACATTTCAATGACCGTCCAAGTTGTGCAATAAAGAGTATAAAAGCCCCACAACAAATGGTGCTACTCACCCTCACAGGCACGCCCATCTCCCAAGAAGCCCGGGAGACATGTGCAGATGTAGGCGGACCCTCCAGTGTACACACACTGAGCACGCTGAGGAATGTCACAATTGTGTGTGCCTGTCTGGCAGTGGTTTACCACATAGTCTACAGCTGCAGGTTAAATGCATAAGAGAGGAGATGAAAATTTCAATTTTCATTCATAAAGTCTAAGGCTCATAAGTTCATATGAAACAGCTGTGAAAGCTTACAGAAGAGAAAGGAAACAGGTTTTTTTTGGTCTGGGGGTTGGGATTTTTTTTTTTTTTTTGCCAAGATCTCCCCTTTCACTGGTGTTAAATCTTCTTAATGTTTTACAAGGAACTGACTCCTCAGCACCTCACAGATGTTTGTTAGCACAGAATGGGGCAGAGAGGCTACCACAGTGACAGAACCTAGAATCCATGACAGCTTTGTTTATGAAAAGGAGTCCTGAATGAAGAAATGTAAGGCATCTCACAGAGCTACCTCACATGTTAGCTTACTGGCCAGTTTACTGCACTGGGAATTATTAGATGACCTGCTACACTAACCTACACTGACCCAGGGCTGCTGTCACTTGGCAATAGATGGGAGCTGTGACTCACTCAATAGGAGATAAACAAATTTGTCAACTACTGGAGAGATTTTTGACCAACAGTGTAAGCTGGGACCAGACCTGCTTTTCATAACTTTCTCATGTTGACAGCAGTACTCTGAAGGCATTGCACTGCTTTACACACAAATTATTTCAGGAAGTCACTGGAGTTCTGCCTGTGCTTACCTGTTACATCAGTGAAAAGGAAACAAAGGAAACCATGGTACTTAAAATAGGAAGAGGCAAAATACTACAAAAATTTTGGTCCCAGAAATAAAGCATCCAATGTGTATATCTAGGAACAGACTTCCAGCTGCTGTAATAGAGAATCCACTGAGGCTCTCTTTACACAGTTCTTACGAGAAGCTGACAGGGCACCCAGACAAGACTACACAACGCTCCTTTCATCACAGCACACAGATGGAAACTAGCACAGTATCAGCAGGAAAATAACAAAAATCTGCCATCAGAGCCAGATCTGAAAACAGTCATTTTTTCCATTTCTCTGGAAGAAGTGACAATGTTGTTAGAATCATTAATATCCTTCTGTTTGATGAAGTAAGTTAGATTATAAAATAGATTATAAAATAATCTATTAAGAATTGCATTATAAATGCACAGAAGTTGGAGCTCAGAGGGAGTCCTCAAGTCCTCCTATTTCTCATCCTACAAGTAGGAGAATAGGATTTATTTACAACTCTCTTCTAAAGCTATCCAGTGAGTCATGCAGCTGGTATGAAAAAAAAAAAGGCCAGTTCCAAAAAAGCTGAGTCAAGGCTGGTATCCCAGAGCAACCTGCAAAAGCACAGAGGGTTGCTGTTGCCCCTTCTGGGGTTCAAGTTGTCTGGGGGGTTATAAAACCCTCCACTGTGAAAAGGAGAACAAGATTACCATGACATTTATTTTTCATCTGTTGGGAAACTAGAGTTTATCTTCCCTCTCTTCAGTCTTACAAATGCGGCTTGGTTTAGGTTAAAGGAAGAGATCAAACTGAAATCCTTCAATCCAGGCAGGGAATTACTTAGTGCTTGCTAAAAGTGGGACATCAACTTCATGGGAAAGTGATAGAGAAAATTTGGTGACATCGTGACTAGAAGGAAGAATGTTTCCTTCTGGGTCTAAATCACAGAAGTGCAGTGGTGGACATAATGGAAAGAACATAAAGCTGTTCTTCCACATCTCACCCTATCCCTTCCAGTGGCCTGGTAGAAGAAGCTGCTTTTTCTGACTGTTCTGCAACAAAGGGAGACTTAAGGGAGTAGACTAATTGGACTCCTTACTGAAGCAGAGAAATTTAGCTTCTGATGGAGTGTAATACACAGCATACAAAGCCACAAACTTCAGGAAAGTCATGCAACTGTCTGCTATAAGATGAAGGTTCCTTAGTCTTAGTTGAAGAACAGTCTTAGCTATAACGAGGAAAGATACGGATGCATGAACTGATCAAAGGGTAACTAAGTTTTTACCACAAACTAGTCACAACACAAGCAAACAATTCTCAGCTGTTATCACTCATTTCCAAAAGAAACAGGAACCGGTCCAGCTATACTGGAAGACTGCATACAGGGTTTGTCAGCACAGAATTACTGTCAGGTTGCAAAGACAAATACTCTAACAAAACAAAACAAAAAAAATCCAATCTCTATCCTATCCTGACAATTGCAGCTCTAGAAATAAAGTCATTAATTATTTTATCTGGCATTACCCTTCTTCTATCAGCCATTTGTAGATTCCTTTTTCCAAAGGAATTTCTAGAACTTGAGTGAAAAACAGGGCAAACAGGAAAAAGGTATCTCTTGTTAGGACAACCTTAGTCTAGCAAATACAGATTGACTCAGGCTTCCTTCAGAAATAAAGTTTTAAAATTATATAAAAATAATTCAGCAGCAGCTACTGAATTTGAAGTCTTAATGTTCATTAAAATGAGCTACATTTTCTCCAAATCTCGAGGATTTTAACAGTGAAGTGATCTGTGGTTACAATTTCTTTTCAGCACGATTAACTATTGCTTTGGAATAAGCCTACAATAGCCAAGATGCACTGATTTAGACCTGTGCACCATCTTACCCAAGGGATGAATCTGTAACTAAAGCGTAATCTGTTAAACTGAACTCTGGATTAGACATAAGAAAGAAACAAACCACAAAACTCCAAGAAGTCAAAGCACAGCCCTTAGAAAATGCAGAAAAAGCCACTAATCAGTAGCTGCAGCACTAAATTCAGCTCATGTTAGAAGTAAGGGCAGCTCGCGAAGGACTGTTTCTGTCCCTGTGAGCTGAATCGCAGCCCAAGAGCCGGTGGGCAGTGCTTTCAAGAAATATGAAACTCACCGACACAAGTCCGCCCATCTGCTGCAAACTGGTATCCTTCAACACATTCACAACGGTAGGTTCCTGGCTGGTTATTGCAGCCTGCATTGGTGCCACATAGACCTGGTTGCTCTGAACACTCATCAATATCTAGGATATTACAAGGATTTTGGTTATGACAAAAGATGCATTTAATATGGATGCCAGAAAAACAGAAACTTGGAACTGTTGATTAATAGCAGTCTTATATATTTCAGCTACATCTTAGCTGGACCATACATCTTAAGAGATATTAGTAACTGAAAACAAGATTTCAGGTAACTGTGTCCTCAGCTAATTGGCACCAAAAAGGAAAAAACAAACCAGAAGAGGTTCTAAAATGAAGTAATAAGGGGAAGGCACGGGAAGTTGTAGAGAAAAGAGGAGCCACTGAGGAAAAACATGCAGCCTAGAAGGTGATCAGCAGCAGTGATGACTACTGGGGGAGCATGAACTTTATGAAAGACTTCTCCTTTCATTATCCATATGCATCTCTAATCCATTGTTGCTCAACTCACAGCACCAGAGGACTGGAAGGGACAATGTGGTGCTGTTGTTTTCATTTGCAAGTTGAGTTAAAGGTTGGAGTGAGGGAAGAGTTGTGCTTTGGTTTTTTTTGTTTGTTTGGGTTTTTTTGTTTTTTTAATAAAAAAACCCCAAAACTTGGTTAGCTAATAGGGATGATACATACTTCATTAACACACACATTCACCTCTTGAAAACAAGTATTTGTGCTGTTACTTGATTACAAAGCAAAACCCAAATACATTATGAAAACAGAGTTGGACAGAGTTGGGAAATATAATCTTCTTGACCAGAACGGATTTTCAAAGCAGATCAAGAAAAAGATTATTTCAATGAATTGCACATATCTGCTCTGCCCACTCATGCATATGCCATTTTTCATCTCCCTCGAGAACTTTTAACCTAGTTGATTCATATTAACCAGAAATTGCATTACAGTAAATTTCTCACAGCTAAGTTACCACATACTTTATAAAAATACAGATTGGGTAGGAAAGATGCTTTGCAAGCTAGCAAAGCAGTCAAGACAGTCAAACTTGCCTACTTTGATTATTGAGATACATCAGCTAGACCAGCAACCCTCTAACCTATCCTTCTCAAAACCAGCCTCTCAGGACAGTTCATTTTGCTAGAATGGCTAATCCTGATGGTCAGTGCACCCCAAGGAAAACAAATTCCACTTTAGCTTTCATTTTGCAACAAATTAAAGTTTTTTGATACCATAACAAATGTTTCCATCTCCACGGAAGCCAACTGAACATTCACAGAAGAAACGATTTCCAGTTCCCGGACGACACACAGCGTTGGTGTCACAGTTATGAGTACCAGTGTAGCAAGGATTCCGGTTAATATCAGCAGAACCATCTAGCAAGACAGATCATATTTAGCCTTGATGACTCTATCCAAGTAATAGCATTCAGTTAAGGCCTAGAAGGAGTCTGCTTATAGTACGCATTAAACAAGGGAAAAAATACTTTTTGCACCAGAAAGAAAGAAAAGCCACAAAAACCTCTCTAAAGGCAAGATTGACAAAAGTAATTCATCTCCCAGTCACTGATAGTAGACTAAAAACACAATTCATAACAGCTTGGTTTATTCATTTTAATTAGCAGAACTTTATTTTGTATCAAACAAAAGTGAGCACAGCTTTTTTCTTATACTCATCTGGTGTGCATTTTCAAATTGTTTGCTTTTTTCCCTGATTTTAGTGCAAACTTGGACAGCTTATCCAAAAAAAATACACTTCATAGGCTGCCTACAATTCAAAGATAAAATGCCATGTTTCATGATAAGTTATAGAAACTCACCCATGGTGAATCTTAGTCCCCTCTTTTGCCCTTTTCTCTGACAATACAAAAAATTCAGTAATAGAAGAACTACAAAATTAGGTAAAGATAAAAAATATACTCCAGTTATCTAAGTGGTAATAGATTCTTGAGATTATTTCAAGGAATTAGACACAAACTCCACTGAATTTCAAGAAGAGATAATCACTTGAATACTCTTTCTCAAGTAAAAATACAAACTTTCAACAGTCTCATTTCTCCTCCTAATTGATGGATCTGGACTTCCACTGACTACTGAAATAAATTAATTTAACTCATTAATATGCAGCTAAGGCAGGATAGAAAAATATGGATGCCTGTTTGTTCTTAATTACTCATAATAGAGAAAAAATTTCAATTCCTACATACCACTGATTGGGCCGATGGAATTACTCATAGCATATCGCAGGATCTGCTCGTCTCTGTTATACAGGACAAACACACTGTCCACCGAGAGCTGCTGAGTAGCAGAAGCAGGACGGTGGGAGTCATCGTGAATGCATTCGTCAAACGAGATGGTCTGTCGCCACTGATAGGCGCCCGTGTACGTGGAAGCAACTCCATCCCTTTCTGGCTCTGTCACTGTGTACTCCCTCGTGGATGATGAAGTGATCACTGCAACACGACAGCAAACACGCTGATCAGAACAGAGATCAAAAGTACTCTGCCAAATGTTATCTGTAGAATTGGGATGCAGTCTGTGCACCGTAAATAGAAATTTCAAAGGCAAGAAGCTATGAAAATGGATGTATTTCCATGAAAAGGAATAGGCACTTGAGTACACTTACTCTCCTCTCAGGTATCACAGCATTGATAAATAATTTGATTTATTTTGACATATTTTAAAAATTTTACTTTATTTTGTGGTTTCCAAGTAATGAAAGGAAAATTCAACTCAGCAAACTCAGAAGTCCCTTTCAGTGAATTTATAATGGATCTACAAGAGCCATCTCACCAGCACTAAACTACACCCAGTTTTATTTCATTGTAGGCTATTAGCCCTGGATTTTAAAAGTCCTGAAGCTGTCTGTCCGAGAGCTCTTACATTCTTCACAATAGTTTTCTATGTTGCCAAAAATTGTGACCAAAGCTCTTCAAAGAAGGGATCATGGATCCTCCCACCAACAGGAAGGTCGTCAGAACACCACTGTTCTTTGTTTGGACATCAGAACACACCTATACCAATCCATTTCCAACAACTGGCAAAAGATGTATTTCTGCTAAGTAACAGACTGTTAGATACATCATAGGACAGCAGAATAGCAGCTGTTTGAGTACTAGTAGATCAAATCCAGCCTGAAGGATGCCTCCCTCCAGCCTCCGATTTTACCTCCATGGGAATGGCATTTCTGCCAAGTGTTCTATAAAGCACATGCTGCGCAAACAACTTCTCCCAAACTCTGAAGCTGTTCAGCACAAGGCAGAAGCTTCCTACTGCTTCCACTTTCTCCCCCTCTCAGTCGGTAAAACAGGCAAAGCACAAGAGGGGTTCACTGCTGGCTACCAAAGCCAGACATTAGTGAATATAAGGCCGCTGAAAATGGTGTAGTTGCATCACTGTTATCTCTACCAACCAAAAGTGCACTCCTGGAATGAAGTGCAGTCTCTCCAGTATTCATGTGCCTGTGGGTGCACCTCTTTACTTCTCTTCAACAGGTGGGTTGGTTGACGAGCAGCCACACTCCAACCTCACTTTCTTTTTTTCTGTATTGAAACAACCATAATTTTTTCCAGGAAGAGGAGAGCAAAAGAGGGGAGGTTGCCTTGTAAATAGTGAATGAAGAATGGCTCTCAGGAAATCTAGAGTCTGTGATAAAGGAACTGAGAGAGAGGAGAGAGAAACTGATAAGGGAATTAAGAGGTTCCTAGTTTTCTAGTCAGTTGTTAAAAGTCAGCTCAAATAATACTGATAAATGCTTGCAAAAGTTGTTGCAATGCAGTTTATATGACACGTACTGGTAAATAATTGGTTTACACACTCTCATCAGACATCAAAGCTCACTTAATGACATTACCACAAAAAAATATACACCAGTACAGCTCCTATTAAAGAGCTGTGGACCTACAAAAAACTTTGTAACTTATACGCTGCCATCAACAGTGTAAGAACAAGGGCAACAAAAAGGGAAATTGATAGTGTTTTACAAACATCAGTTCAAGGAAATTTAAAATATTTTTTTCAGTAAAAAGATTTGAAATATTTGCATTGTCCCACTCAAAATCCACCCTCTTTTGGGACCTGTTCCTAAGACACAAAAAGCAACTTTCTATAAATTGAAGGGTCTTAAATACACTTGCTAAAAAGGGAATAAAATAATTTTTTTGGATTGTCTTAGTCTCTGCTTTAAGAAATATGCACTTTCTTATCATTTCATTCTTAGGGAACCTTACCAGAACTAGAAGTATGATAGAGTTCAGTGTATGGTTCTATATGGACTGATGCACCAGATGGGATCTCAGGTATTCTGCCCTCCATTTCTGTGCTGATGGTAAGGTGACCATGCTCATCAATACCACTGAATTTCTGCTTTACAACCAGCTTCTCATTGTTGCCAAGAAAAGTTACTTCTGTTTGCCGTGTAAACTCACCACCTAAAGAAAGAGTATTAGTTAAACCACTTAATAGGTGTTTCTGAATCCTTCTGTTTAAAATATTACTGTTTTCTGCAAGCTTTGATATAGCACAATTGCTAATATATTGTGTTTCTAATGAAATAACTTTCAGAGGTATACTGATAATATCCTTGAATACTATCTTAAGCACTGAACACGGTAAATTGCAAATAAGCCTGAGGAAGCAGGGTTTTTTTTAATTAAAAAAAAAAAAAATTCTGACCAAGCTAATAACAGTAGGCCTTATCCTACCATTTAAAAGGGCAGTTTAGAGAAAATTTCTATTAGGAATACAGTAAGTTTAAAAAAAATTAAAAGTCCAGTACATCTGTTTCCAAATCAAAACCAAGTGAGACATATGTTGTAAATTCCAGAACAAACTTCCAAAATGCCAGATCCAAGAAAACCCCAAAACAAAAAGTTATGTTCATGTAAATTCATATTATAGGGCTGTAAAGGATAAAATTTTAAAAGGAAACACATGTTCTCCTAGAACAGATTGAATCTACAGCTTGAATTCATGTGCACAACTGCACAGCTTTGGCCTCAAACTCTTATGAAAAGCTTTAATTGTGAAGAGGGGTTTCCCTCAAACAAGTTCAGTGAGTTGTTTGCATGTCACGCAGCAATTGCTTCTGTGAAGAATTTCAGACCCTCATGAGGTCAGATTTTCTTTTCTCTTTTGCTCCATTGATGCAATCAAGAAATTAACATGCTAGACTTCTTGAAGATATAGATGTAGCTTTTTTTCAGTAGCTCTGTACACTGTAGTAACAAAAAAAAAAAAATAAATCATATGCTTTAAACAATCTTTCTTGCACAGGAACTAGCCAAGCCAATCTTCTCTCTAACACACTTGTGTGCTGGTACACTGACAGAAAATTAAAAAGTCCAAAAATGGTGAGAAGTCTGATTACAAAGGATCAATTTGCAGCTCAGAATAGATGTGTTTTCATCATATATTGTTCTAAATACATGTCTTTTCTATCAAGACAGAGGAAAGCATAGCACAGTTTTGAACACTGCATTAATTTAGAAGTTACCAGTAATGCTGAATCCATTTTTATATCCGTGGTGTTCCACTGCAAACATCCATCCTATGATACCTCCAATAGAGGCAAGAGGTAGTAAAGAATACCCCAAGGTCTCTGGGATTGTGCTGATAGCAGTGTAGGCACGCCCTTGGTTCATCACAACATAGGAGTGGAGATCAGTGTTCTCAAATGTAATTGGAACAGGGTTATTTCCTACAAAGATTCTTCCTTTGACCTTCCCGTTGACTCTCTGAGGAGAACCTGGCAAATCAATACAATGCATCAGAACAAAATGACAATTCTCTCATACTCTCCAAGAAACATGTTCAGAGCACTCACTATGTTCAAAGGTATTAGTGTTGAAATAAAGAACAAACAAATACTCACAGAATTAAGACAAGAAATTGCCATGTGTTCACTGACTTATGTATGTATATACATGTTTGTTGTTATTATACAGATTACTCAATAGCCAAAATTGCCTAAAGAGATGCCCTTTATCCTCATTAACAGTTTTGTCTTCAAGGATAACTCTGTATGCTGTTACAGTATATCTGACAGTAAGTGGCACACAAACTTCTTTTGAAGATCACCCTTGATATCAATACACACCGAATGCAAATTTGTTCATTCCCTATTAAAAGGCTAACACCACTAGGTGTTAGAGTAATTGACCTCTTATTCTAAACTATTTTTTGATTCTAAACTATTGACCTTTCTGAAGATTGTCAGTGTTATAGCTATTCTGGATTGCTAGTTTTCACCTGTATATAATTTCCTACATGGAAATTCAAATTCCATTATCATCAGATCCTTTTCTTTCTACAGAAAACACAATTTTATGAACTGAAAGCTTTCCTGGCTTATAAAACACAAAGTCTGCAGTCAGCTATTAGAGTTGTTGAAATGCATCTATACTCTGAGTCAAATCACTGTGAGGATTACAAGTGTATACATAAGAAATTCCTTTATGGATTTTACACGGGAACAAAGTTTAAATGGGTATTTAAAAAAATCTTGCAGATCAGCCCTTTAGTAAAGCAGCTTAAGAGTCAGACAAAGAGGAGCCGTGCTCTTTAGTTTGATGATCAAAGTTAATTTGTTCATCCCTTTGAACTGTCCATTTCTAGAATGAGGACCACATCAGATTATAACATAGTGGAACTTCATGACTAATTCTATCAAATATCACCTAATGTTATGCTATCTTTCAAATTATGTCAGTTATGAAAGAGTTCATTTTTTCTAGAAAGTCATGTAAAAATGCATAAAGCATATAACTGACCACTTAAAATAATTTGCTTCATTCAAAAAAGCACAGCATTTTAGAAAGTATAGCTCACTGCTTAAAATACCATTCAGTATATCTCAGTGATAAGTCTTTCAAAGATTTTTTAGTATTTTAAACAGGTCACGTCATTCCAGTATGTCATATGTAATTGCTACTTATGTGCCTAGTTTTCAAAGAGTTACCTTCTGCTACGCATTGTCTGCCATTTCCTTTGTAACCGGCAATACAACTGCAACAAAATCCGTTGGGATAATCTTTGCAAATAGCATGAACAGAGCACTGGTGACGGTTGTTAGCACAGGTCTGTTGGACATCCGTGTGGTAGCGAAACACTGCAGAAAATAAGACCAGATATTTACGTTTCATGTAATTACTGTAGTATTCATATCTCCCTTGTCAAGTTTAAAAGTCTCTCTGAACTCACTTGATTAGCTTTCTCATTTTCTCTCTAAGGAAAGCAAACTATTGCAATTGATTTTGGCTAACCTTGCAATATGCAAGTAACAGTCTACTATTTTGCAGAAAACATCAGGACTTTAGTTGTTTAATTTTTTAATTAGGAAACACTTTAATTCTATTGTCTTCAGTGGTTTAAGTTTCTTGTCAAAACTACACATCATAATTTTAACCTGTTCTTGTTTCCAAACCAAAGCAAAAAGGAGACTTTCCAACCTTAGAACAAAACACATCAGTACAGTACCCAGGACGGTGCAGCAACTGATGCACCCTGTAATCCTAATTGGTTTACCCTATTATTTCATGGAGATAGCAATTCTCACATTTGCATCAAGAAACATCTGGCCAGTCAGTCATGCTACTCTGAAATTTCCATAAACACTTTATCAGAATTTAGAATTGCTACTTCCACCCGTGGAAGACTGGAGGCCATGAAACCCTAGACAACAAATTTTACAGCAGTTTCTATTCCCAACCTTTATTAAGTCACCTGTATTCAGTAGCCCATCTAAGAAAGGTCTGTGAGCTTGATTAGGGAACTAGTTTACTAGACTGGCAAGATCTGAATCAGATGACATCCAAGTTGACTACTTTGATGAATAACAAATTTATGAAATGTGTCCAGATTTTCAGACATGAAGGCAGTGAGAAGAAAACAGATAATTTCTTTAGTAATTCAATTTGCACACACGTCTGGTTTTTTTTGTTGTTGGTTTTTTTTGTTTGTTTGCTTTTGGGTTTTTTGTTTGTTGGTGGGGGTGGCGGTGTTTGTTTGTTTTTTGTGGGTTGGTTTGTTTGTTTTTCTGGTTTTGTTTGTCGGTTTGGTTTGTTTGGGTTTTTTCCCAGCCTATCCATCTTTCAAGGAGCTAAGCTACAAAAAGACCTTACCTATTCCAGTTTCATCAAATTCTTCCACATCTATGACTTGAGGTTGCTGGGGGGGGAACCGCTGGACCTGAAACTGGCGAGGTGGAGCTTTTGCTGTTGGGAAATCTTGAGGACTGTAAAAAGACTCAGTTGAAGGTGTTCCTGTTACATCTTGGTATGGAGTCAAAAAGTCTTCTGCAGCTAACTGAGGAACACTGTACGTAACATGGTGCTGATCCTCTTCGGTGCTGTCTGTACTACTTGTGATATACTGCTGTGTTATTTCAGTGGAGCCGTAGTCTGACATGAATGGTTTAGAAGTCATCTCCTGGTCTTCTTCATCAGGCTCTAGGCTCTCCAAAACATTGCTGATCTTGGCAGGCACGATGCTGTCAGATGAGCTACCAATCTCAAACACCCAGACACCTTGCTTCCCAGCATTGCTGCTTCTGTCAAAGAGAAGCATATGCCAAATCAAAACAATCAAGCACGAGTTGTGGGGTATTTCTAGCCTACACAAGATGTTATCCTTCACTGAGGAGTGTCAGGACAAAACTGTTTAATTATTTTATCTACATACTTATCTACAGATACAGTTTATTCAGCTGTAAAACACCCCTGACAGTTCAGATAGCATTTTATTCTCCATATCTAGAGCTCTGAGAATTTCTAGTTTTCTTGTCTCCAAAGCAATGGGAACAGGAGGAGATATTTGGGCCACAAAGATCTTGCTACCACTTACTAGAACTTTCTAACTCATTCCCTTTCCTTCTTGTTCATTCTTTCTTTCAAAAAAGGGGCTGCCTAGGATAGACTATAAAGAATTGAAGTCTAAGTGGTACAATTTGTAGAACAACTGAGTACACAGTGGTTCCTACCAGTGACAATGAAACTGTGGACCTTTGCAAAATTATACCAAAGTACTCATATTCCTCAAGAGGATGAATGTTCATCAGTGGCAGACTTTGTGATTTCTCATGCAATGGCTAATAGCATTTTCTTAGTTCTCAGTGATTCATGCTACACTTAAGAAAACCACGGAACTCTTGAGGAGTTTAAACAAGGAAAAAAGCATACTTGTACAGGTTTCTAATGCTGTCTTCATCATTAGCAATGACATTGTAGGATCCTGGTTTTTCCCAAAAGTAGTAGTTTGTAGAGGCTTGACTAAAGCCGACCATAGCAGGAATATTTTCATCGCCATTCTTGGAGTATGTGCTATAGAACTGCAAACTATCTTCTGGATAAAGGAAAATAGCATAGGAACTGGAGTCAGAAGAGGCTAAAACAGCCTGGAATGTGTTTCTCTGTGGAAAAAAACATTAACACCCATTTACTCATGTAAAAATAGTCAAGAGAGGCAACAGAATAATACTTTTCCTTTTTTTAAACACAAAATCAACATTAGAATTTCCATCATACATAATGTATCATGTACGTCCTAGGAAAAGTCAACATTACACAAGTTTATATTTTGCTAAGGCAGTTTCAGCTTTAGCATTCATAAACATGAAAAAAAAAACATTATTAAAGTTAAATCTGTAGGAAATAGAGAGGCTGCCCAAAACATAACAATTTTAAGTTCTACAGAATATTTAAAGTAAAGTTTAAGTTTCATCTTGCTTCAAGCCTTTACCCATAGGAACATTCCTGCTTACTGTAGGAACCACTAAGACAGCACCTCAGACATCAGCTATTCATTGTTACCAGAGTGAAAAATTGTTATTATGAACACAGTGCTTGTGTCAAGTTAAGCAAAAGAAGTTATCATTGACATAAAAAGATTTTGTAAGTTGTGGTAATGTTCTCAACTCGATACATTGTGAGCAAGCTCATCAGCTGGAATAATTATGGTGTACAAATTTACATATTCATGCAGGATAGTACCTAAATGGTTTAAAAAGGAGAAAATGGTTGGTGAGTAATAATAAAAAAACCCCTCTAACTGCTTCTTCATTCAATACTAGCTACAAAACATGAGATTTTTCTGAATGCAACATCATCCATTCAAAATGGTCGTCAGTTCCTACTAGTCCTTATCTGATTTTAGATAGTCTGACATCAAAATGACTTGAGTCTGTTGAAAAATGCAAGCCAACAGGATTATATTGCAAGTCATGGTCTTAAGCTGTGCCAGGGGAGGTTTAGGTTGGATATAAGAAAGAAATTCTTTACAGAAAGGGTAATCAGACATTGGAATGGGCTGCCCAGGGAAGTGGTGGATTCTCTGTCCCTGGAGGTTTTTAAGATGAGACCAGCCCATCAGTGCCAGGGGTTGGTAACCACAGCAGTAGTGGATCAAGGGTTGGACTTGATGATCTCTGAGGTCCCTTCCAACCCAGCTGATTCTATGATTCTATGAGGGAGGGCAGGTTATTCTACTATTTCAGTTATTACCAGTATTCTACTATATTCAGTTATTCAGTTACACTTAACATTCAAAGTAAGAGTTGTCAGGGAATACAAAGAAATCAGCTATGTATCAAACATTTTCTTTTTAATTATTAAAATATTGTAAAAGAAAAATCAAGTAAAAATTCTTGTAAGTCCTATTATACTACAGGCTTTTCAACAATAAAATACATTCTTAACTCCGCAGGATTCATTTAAACACAAAGAAATTCAAGCCTTAAAAACAAATAGGTTACAGTGTTACACTCTACCTGAACATGCGTCCAACATGACTTAAAGTTCTGATTAATACTCACCTTTTCTTCCAAAGCATGATCTTCTCCTGGTGCCTGGTAAGGACCCACAAGCTTCCAGGTAACAACAACAACACTGATGGGATCAAAAGCAGTCTCAGGAAAACCTCCCTTGATATAGTCTGATGCAAGTTGCAAGACATCTGACGACGAATCTTCCCTGTAATACACATTCCCACGTCCATCTGTTGTGTCCAGGTCAGCCATAAAAGGAGCAATAGCCCCAAAACTCACTGGGAATTGACCAAGATATTTTTCTTCATCTGAAGGTTCATTCACTGCAATAATCCCATTAGTGGTAACCTAATAAAAGGATGAAAATTGTAACACAGATATTGTTCATATGGCTGTCTCCTACACATAGGTGCTCTAGATCACAATATTTTCATTGCATTTTGAAAATCAGGTTCGTATTTGAAAAGTAACTGGGTTTTTCAAGTTCTTGTTTTGTATCCCATGTCAGGAGTCCTGGTATTTAAGTTGCCTAAAACCAAAGGTATACTTCATGGATAGACCAGCCTTTTTTCCCTAGGAAAAGATTTTACCTATTTAAATTTCAGACACTTATTGCCTCTTCTAACAAAGATATACTTCCCCACCATTGCTTCAGAAGCTGATAAAACTTCTGAGCAAAGAACTAATCTACACATAGATACCAATCCAAAAAACTGCTCCATGCTTAAATATTGTAATAGTTCGGGTGAAAGTCTTTTGGGAAGATGTACAGATTTCTCTTCGCCTCACAAGGACTGCTTTAATTTTCACTTCACTACAAACATCCCCCTAGGATCTTCTCTACTACTGTGCAAGGTTGACAACAACAAGCTGCTGCTCATGTGAGCACAGTTCTTATATCAGAGGCTATGGAGGCTAGGAGACAGAATTTCCACAGCAGGCCCTATAAATTCTCTTACAGCTGAGTGCTCTGACACAGGCCAGTGGAAAACTGGGTCTATTATTTGAAAGAGGAAAAAAAAGCATTAACATATATGAGTGATACTCTCAGTTTGAAAATGCATACATGGTGGCTCAGTAAGATTTAACTGGTCAGTGAGACAATGACACAGAGCCAACCACCTCTGACTAAAACTGAAATAAACACATACATCCAGTAGGTGCTAAGGCATGTCCAAGTGTGACAGCCAAACTCCACTGGCAAACCAGAGCCAGCTCTCACACACACAAGCAGCGAGCAAGACTACAGGTGTCAGGCCTTGGGATGGTGCACAAACTGCTCAAACACAGCTTTGTGTCCCAGGCCTTTCTTCCAGATATGTATGGCACTGAGTGAATCAGCCACATACAAATCTATTTCCAGGTGTTGGACTGCATAACAGTACACATCTGACTACCTGCAGGCAGCCAGGCACTCGCTCTAGAGCTACTGCCACATATACAGGGGACTCAGAAAGGAAAAGAGGTTCCAAAACTGTCACTACAAGCTGTGAAACTAAAGCTGCAATCTCTTGTAGGTTGATCTCACTCACAGGGATTCCTGGGAGTCCGAGGAGAACAAACTGCTGCTGAATGCTGTGGATCACACAGTCCTGATGTTCTCAACTTTATGCGGTCTTTATAGACGCTTAGAAGTGGGTCAGAATGGCCGCTGTGACTCAGACTGCAAGGCCATCTAACCCAGTAGTCTGTCCCCAGCCATATCTGCGAGCTTACAGATTAAGCAAACAAGAGGACATGCACGTACTTCTCCAACCAGCCTCCAACCACATTCACCTCAAGGGATTCCCTGTGGTTTGACTGTTTATTCATCCTCTGTGGATCTCTTCACATATTTGTTAAGTCTTCCCTTCAACACATATAAACTTTATCATCCACAAAATCCCTGGAAAAGAAGCTCCATGAATCTGTGACTCAAACCCTGAGGTCTCTCCAACACCTTTTGGTTTTCAGTCTGGCTCCCAGCTTCATTTGATGGCCCCTAGTTTTTGTATTGGGACATACAAAAATCCTACCCAGTCTTTCCCACTACATCATTTCTCCTCCAGAATGAAGACCCCAGTCTATTCATGCACTCCCTGTATAAGAGCTGTTCTCTGTCTCTGATCACTCTCGTCATCTCCAAATTTTTCTTCCCCTTTTTCCACTATATAAATTTGGAAACAAGGAGGCCAGTAGGAGGCCACATATTCATTCTCTTCACAGAGAAATTGTGGGCTGTGCAAGCCCATCAGGGATACAGGCTACATGTATCTTGGCAACATCCTTTAAAATGTGGACCACTATTACTATGGCTACACACAGCAAATCAGAAAAAGTCTAGTATGAGAACTCATGACGCCAATCACCCCTTCATATACAACACACACCTATACCTTGAACCCTCCTTTGGTTAGCCAGGGGGTCAGAGCATGCCCATTGCCACAGGCTGGTGGTCAGTCAGCTTGGCACATAACTGGATAATGGTCAGCAGAAAACTATTAGCTAAACTTAGCAAATAGTTCCCACAGTATATCAGAATTTACTTTAAAAGTGGCTTGACATATGCTGACTGTACTGTCTGCAGATGTATAATTTCACTAGCAGCTACAGTGTAAAATATTAAAAACGTTAAGATCATGTAAAAACTGGCAAGTTGGCTTTATGTATGAACAGTATGTCTGAGACATATAAGCAGAAAATAATCTGCACAAGCACAATGGAAAAGGAGGTCATGTTAGAAAGGGGGAGAAGAAGCTGAGTATTGTGATAACTTTTTCTCTAATCATTTATGACTTAAAAATGGTCACAGATCCTAAGGCGAATAATGAATTTTAGGAATACAGAACTAAAAAGACAGCATGGGTTACCTCAGTAAAGACCCTGCAATTACAGTCATCCATGCAACATAAATCTAGTCCAGAAAGGTGTCCAGAACTCCTATAACATCTGTACACTAGAAAATGCCTCATTCCTATAAAGCAAAGCTAAAACATGACCTGAAAATGAAAACCCACCAAATATACTCTACCACTGGAAGACAGTATGGAGGATGGTGGGCATTATGGTTTGTTTGCTAAGACCTTTAGCAAGGATATGCACTCCATCGTTAAAGTAATAAATTTAGAGCCAATTAAAAGTTTTTCCCTTCCTTCTCCTTGCTTACACTTTTTGTACACAAGCAGTTCTACTCCCACTCTAAATCCTCTTATGAGAGATGACTGGTGTTTGAAGTATTTTAAACAAATTCCATGCTCTTCATCAGATTTGGTGTGTACAGACTCCGTGGCTTCATTATCCCCCATTTATGGCAGAGATTAAAATAACATTAAGAGAAAATACAATCAGGACTAGTTAATACCACAGAGTAAAGCAGAAACCAGAAGGAATGGCCCTCCTCTTTTCACTTATTAGTGACATGGTTCTGACTATTCTTTTCCTATTTTGCTAACTTTAATGCAAAAAGTAATTTTATTAAGGAGATGCAAAATGCCAAACCCATTTTTTTTGGAGTTTATAAGTGAGACAGTTCACTTTTAAATGTTAAGGGAATGTTTGGTGACATGTACTCTATCACCCAGAAAACAGTTGCAAGCCATTAAATGAAAATAAATGCACAAACTGCTCACTTTGTGCAGTGATTTTTAGTGTAGAGAAAGAACACTTATTAATAATGAAAAAGCGTTTTTAGCTTTAACAATATATTTATATTGACAAAGACGGTGAATAGTATGATTTAATTTTACCCTGTCTCTTTTAAGTTCACACAGACAAGTTAAAGTGCAAATCCCAAAATAAAGACAAGTAATTCAGAGTACACCCTGGGTTTCATCAGAGCATCATTCCTGCCAAAAGGGAAAGGGGAAAAAAAATGCCTAAGGTGGGCGTTGCTCAAAGACCAGCTTTACAGTATATCTTTCCTTTTAGGGTATAACACTATTTAACTTGACAGGAACTAACACAGATGTATTTTTAGATGTTAAACTTCTGGATTACACACATAGTTAACATACACTTGGGGTTTGTAGCAGAACAAACCATACACACACTATTATAGGTCCATCCTGAAAATCAAGTAAGAAGAAGGAAGTGCAAAGTAAGGAAGCACTTCTATTAAGAGAAAAAGTGTATCTCTGTGTGTACTACAAAAATTCAAGTTTCAAACAAATGAGGCATTTTCTCCCTGTTCAGTGAGTAGACATTTTAAGGACTTGAATATTTCTGAGTAAGAGAGTTTAGAAAAATTGAATGCATTTTCATAAGGAAGTGACAATTGACTTAAAGCAGCAAAGCTTTCTAATAGAAACATAATCAACTATTAATTTAGCAAGTTAAAAAAAGTAAGGATTTAAAAAATTGAGCCAAGCTTGCCTTAAAGGATTCTGGATTCTTCCCCAAATGGAGGTAATTCCCTAATCCTTTCATTTTTCCATATCAATGAGTCTTACTGTAAGCTGAAAAAGCCTTAATAAAAGCGTGCTATTAAAACAAATATGTTTGGTTAGTGATTGGATTCAATGTTATAAATCTTTCATAGGAAAACACCATATTGAAGATTACAGTATGTGAAAGTCTGTTTCCACTTATGAAATAAAAGTGCTCTCTTTTGTCTATGAAAAAAGGTTTTGTTGCCAAGGATTTTATGACGAGCTGATATTAAACAATTGTTTCTCAGAACTCCTTGCCTTTTTATTCATGTGTAGAGATAACTCAAACAACTCAGCTTCTAGACTGTTGAAAAAATAGAAAGAGAATCCACAAATTTTCAACTGATTGAAGGCCAAAAATCAAGTGCTCAAAAATTAATATAAGCTTAACACATTATCCTGATGAATCATACAGAAAGAAATATTTAATCACAACACAAAATCTGATCTAGGAATTCCTTTGTGTATTATCACGTATACTACACGTTAATTGTATCAGCTTGATAACATTTACCACCAACTAGCAATACTTTGGCAAATCTTGCTTACCAAATAACGTCATAGAGCTTAATAAGTACTCATTGTAAATATACATAAAAATACATAGTGTGAAGGCACTTTCAAAACTGCTCAATATGCTTCCTTAACAGGTTTACTTCTCTTTTTCCTACCCGTTCACAGTTTGTACTGTGCTTCTGTTTTGCAGTACTCATGCCAGTTTCAATGTAAGATAAAAAACTCTTCATAGTGTGTAGACTGATACTGAAATGCCATTCACTAAAACTGCCCATCCTTAGTACTGAGTAATCATGCTGGCAGAGTCCTAAAAGTGACTCTGAAATAAACTTTATATGAGTATTCTTTCAGACAAAAGCTAACTAGAACTATTCCTCTTTCAGGGCATGGGCAAGTAAAAAGATCACTAAACTTAAGAAATCTGGT